CTCTCTCTCTCTCTCTCTCTCTCTCTCTCTCTCTCACACAAAAAAAAAAAAAAAAAAAAAAAAAAACAAACAAACAAACAAACAAACAAACAAACAAACAAACAAACCAGGTCGTAATGAACCCAGCAATTGTGAGAAGCTTCAACACTTTAACAACAGGAATATGCAAATTGTCTCAATGCACTCAATGCAAAACCAATCAGAATAAAGGAGGAGGACAGAAGTGAAACAAAGGTAGAGAAGCAGAAGAGAGAAGGAGGACAGTTTCACTAATAATCAATGATTAAAATTGAAACGGATCTTCAGTTCCCCGTTCTCCTTCGGGAACTTCCAACGACTCGCCACCTCACATGCTCATCCACTCTGATCACATTGATGGTCTTCTTGCAGCTGTCTGCCCAGGCACCCAACCTCCAGCAAAGAAGCGCGGCTATGAAGGTTGGTGCCTTCCATTTCCAGTCCTCAAGTGCACTGCTTCAGTATCACCAACGACAACAGGCAAGTCAAGGTATGCTTCCCTTACTCTCTCTCTCCCTCCCCTCACAAGTGCTGATCATGGTCTTCCTCGCCATATTCCTATCCAACGGCTATGGCGCTCAGTCGCCCTTCCTAGCTTTTATGACTAAGGTCTCTCTCCTCTTCCTGGGCTGGTGCTGTCTTCGTCCTCCTTGGCGCCAGCCTCATCTTCCACCTCTAGGCCAGGAGCTGGCAACTCTTCTGTAGCGTTGATGGGTATGGCCTGCCTCAGTTTGCCTCATCGAGTGGCGGAGATTTCCCAATCTGGATGGCCCAGATTTGCTGTCAGGCAATATGTGCCTGGACCCATCGAGCTGGGAGTCCGCGGCTGCTTAGTGTGGACTGGGTCTTCCAGTCACAGAAGCTTCCAGACCATTTCCGCAACTTCCAAACGCAAGGGCCTTCCCTTAGGGCCCGACTTTATTTTTGTAAGCTGAGGCTTCACTTAGGGCTGCGTCAACTTTGTGGGGGCTGGCCCTGCTGGGCGCTACCGAGGCCTGATGCACAGAAGGCTTTGCTGATAGGGTAGAGGACAGAGAACGGATCGACAAAAGTTATTGTCTATTACCAGTTCTTGGACAAGGGCTGCTTCTTGGTACGGTGGCAGATCTGGAGATCCTATTGTCTATTGGATTTCGTACTGCATTCCAATCCCCAGCCAGGATGCATGCTGAAAAGGGAGGGATAGGTGGTCCTATGGATTGCATGACTGTGGCCCTTTTGGATGCCTTGTTTCGTGCATAGACATTAATCAGTCTGCATTCCTCCTCTTTCCGCTTCAAGTCCATCAAACCACCGGTGTCGACCTGTAGAAAGGGTCTGCCGGCACACCGATCGATCCCTGTATCTCGCCCTGTGTCTGTCACCCACGGGAGGGTCGCTTGGGGCTCCCGTAACCTGTAGGGAGTGCCAGTGTGTCACGACAACAATCAAGTTAGCACAGAAAGCAAAAACGGCCAACTCGTGGAACTCGTAGACAATTTTGCCCCAAGGAATAAGTTGAACATTTATTTCAGTCCAAAATGATAGGGTCTGTCTCACTGCAACCAGTCCCAGAAATAGGGCCAATGTCTAAATCAGGGAAATCTGTTTGTGTCCCCACCGACCGCATAGATAATCTATGTCGTATCCTCCTCCCTATCGGGTGCCATCGGTACCTGGCCCGCTGGTCCCATGGAATTGTGCTCGAGCTCTCGGTGTCAGAAGTAGATTTGCAGGCCCATTGTGGCCACAACTCGAGGTCGAGTTTTACCATAACTCCACCCTACCACTGTCCTCCTCAGAGAAGTTGGAAAGTATGCCCTTGACAGTCGTCGTGTCGGAGAGTCCCCTACCGTGCCGTAGTCGAAGTCCTGAGCGGACGCAGCTCTGGTTCAGGTGCCCGTCCCGAGTTCCGCACGGCAATGTCCTCGCCTAAGTTCTGATCAAGGTTCCCAAACGCGTCCCGGTCAAATCCCACAGCGTGCCCGGTAGTCCCATCTCAATGAAGTCCCAGCCTGCGTCCCATAGTTTCGTAGTCCCTGGTCAATAAAATCCTTCATTCCCTGGTCAATAGAGCTCCGCGGTCCCGGTCTACGAGGTCATGTCGTCCCGTCTAGACTCCGGGCCCGTGCCTCGGCCCAAGGTCTCGCCCTGTCTGCCGCTGAGTCCCGTAATCCCGGTCCAATCCCAAAGCCCCGGCTTGCCTGGCCTGGGCCTCGTAATTCCTGTCTGATCAAAGTCCTGACTTGCGTGACCTGGGCCCCGTAATTCCGGTCTGATCAAAGTCCTGGCGTACGGAGGTCCCGTAGTCCCTGTTCACGTTCCGATGGGGGCCCCGGTCCGCAGAGGTCCCGTAGTCCCTGTTCAAGCTCAAAGTCCCGCCTTGTCCAGTCGCCATGCGTGTGCTGGCGTGTTAGCGTGCACCCGTGCGCGCCTCCTTCTCCCGGCTTGCCTGACCTGGGCCTCGTAATTCCTGTCTGATCAAAGTCCTGACTTGCGTGACCTGGGCCTCGTAATTCCGGTCTGATCAAAGTCCTGGCTTACAGAGGTCCCATAGTCCCTGTTCACGTTCCGATCGGGGCCCCGGTTCGCAGAGGTCCCGTAGTCCCTGTTCAAGCTCAAAGTCCCGCCTTGTCCCGTCGCCTTGCGTGTGCTGACGTGTTAGCGCGCACCCGTGCGCCTCCTTCCCAGTTCAGCGCGGCTCGCCCGCCAGCGCTCGCCCGTGGGTGCCGCAATCCCCCTGCGCCCGTGGGCTCACGCGTGGTGCGCGGCTGGTGCGAGAACCTGTGTGCACAATCGGGCGTCTATGCTTGTGGTTGCGCGCTCGCGCACGTGATGCGCGTGCTCTCGCGTAGCCTTCCCGCTAGCGCGCAGGTGTGTGCGCGTCCTCCCGCAGCCTTCCTCGTTGGCCTGCTAGTGCGCGCGCGTATGTGTGATCGCGCACGCGTCTGTGCGCAGCTGTGCGCGACTATGAGTGTGGCTCCGCGCGGGTGTGCGCTTGTGCGCTCGACTGCATGCGATCTTGCGCACGTCTGTGCGACCGTGCACGCGTCTGAGTGCGGGTGTGCGCCCGTGTCCGGTCGTGAGTGACTATGGTGCGCGCATGCGCGCCGGTGTCAGATCGTACCTGTAGCTATGGCGCGCATGTGCTTGCCCGCGCGCGGCTATGGTGCATACGTGCGCCTCCCTGACCGATCCCTTTTCCACCTTACCTCCTCGTTAATGCGCCTTGCTGCCCCTCGTCTCCTCCGGGAGTCTCCTCCCTTGGTGCGCCTGTAAGTACGCCTGTCCCAAGTTTCCTGCTGTCTCGTGAGCTAGCATAGTCATACCAGCTTCGTGCGCCTCCGGGATGTCCCCTGATCCCGAGCCCGGTTGGGCTTATATAGTTTGCCGGGCCCTTTTCGGAGTGAGCCTCAACACCCGCATGCCTCCAGGCTGCCGACAAGTTGCAGCACCCAGTACCATGGCTCTCTCCGAGCCTACGCCCGGGCCTATTTGGGCCCCCCAAAAGGTTTCAGCGATAGGAGCCATTTTGTCGGGTACCGGGCCTTTTGCAGCGCCCCGGTACCAGGGCTCTTTCCGAACCTAAGCCCGAGCCTGTCCAGGCTCTATTGGTCTCCACGCGACAGGTACCAAGCCTCATCAAATTTCGCAGGGCCCGGATCCCGGAATTAATAATTTTATGGACTGAGGACTGAGGGCCCTTTTCTCAGCCTTAGGCCCCGCAGCCTCCCTTTAGGCTTCACTTACTGCCCCAATGTCAAGGCCCCAAGCGCGCCCACGCAACGGTTTCCCTTTCTTGAGCCCGTGGTGAACTTCGGGTGTTACCGGCCCTTAGTCTGCCTGAAGGCTCGTCTCAAGAGCCCTGCGCTCACTCTTGTCAGGCACATCGCCCCGCACCAGTGTGAGTTCGGCCCTCTAGCTCTTGTTCCTCATCCGGAGCCTCCAGTGTTTCCTCTGTCGTTGTCGTGCTTTTATGTCTTGACAGCGATAGGCCCCTATAGTGTCCATAGAAGAATGCTCACTCAGAGCTCATGGTTCCATTTTTTCCTGACGTCTCGGCCTTGACACCCATGGCGTGGATCTGATATCACAACTCTTCGATGTCGGCTGTGATCCCATCAGGTAAAACAGCTAGATCCGGTTCTCGCCAAGTGTTATCATCAAGGAAGTAAAGGGCGGCGTAAGGCTAGAGCTGCCCGACACCGGTCCTCCAAAGCCTATTTTGGCAAGCCTAAAAGTTGAAACAACCGAATGGTACTGGTCCCGGGAATATTTGAGCTGGTGCTGGAACTGGCCTAGTGTGTGCCAAGTGACAGCTGCGCAGCGTGCTCATCCTTTTTTATTTTTTTCTCCGCTGTTATTGTGTTCCTACCTTTTTCTTTTCTGTCCCACCCACAGCCCCCAAGTGCGAATCCACTTGGAATGAGATGAGTAACACAGCTCATGGCATACTCACACTAGGACTTCTCTTTTTGCCTTTTTTATTTTATTTTATTTGGATCATTTCTCGATTTATGAGTGTCATCTTCGCACAGGGGTCTTGCTAATCCCCTCCGTACTGCTCCAATTTTAACGGATGTCGCGAAGGACACTAGGACTTTTTTCGTTTTTCTTGTTTCTCTCATTTCTTTTTGACAGCTGTAAGGACCTGCCAAACACGGACTGAGACACACAGCTGATGTTTGAGTTTTGCCAATGGAATGTATGCCTTGCTGAGGTTCCCACTTGTTGCTGAGCTTTCTAAGTCTGTGTGTGTGCGTGCTTGCTGGTCTGCATGCCTGTCTGAGTGCTTGTCGGCTTGAGTGTGTATGTGACCCACGAGGGTACTCGTCTGTACGGGAGGCCCGCAGGGCCGGTACTTACCTGTGGCCGTGACATTTAGGGTTGCAGCGGCGAAAACACTCCAGTGGCGGGGAAA